TTTTTGGGTCCGCGCTCGGCCCGAACAGCCGAACGCATCCCCAAGGGGTCCCATATGTTCGGGCGTTCGGGTTTGGGCATTCGGCCCGTCCCAGGGTAACCGGCGTTCGGGACGGGCCAAACGCCCGAACCCGAACGCCCGAACGTACGGGACCTCTTGGGGATGCGTTCGGCTGTTCGGGCCAAACGCGGATCCAAAAAAAAAACAAAAAAACAAAAAAAAAAGTCATCAACAAAATATGAAAAAATGATATGTTATGGAAAAAAATAAATTAAACAAGATTTGCCTGAGTATTACATCCAAATTCCTTACCAAATTTGAAATACAAATAAAATACAGAAAATAAATACTAATAATAAAAATAAATAAAAATGAGAAGAAAATTAAATTTTGTGAGTGCGCGAGCATGTTTTCGACACCACCACCTTTGGCGATTTTTCATTTTTTTTTGGCATATCTAAATGACCTGAAAATTGACAAACCCACTAAAAAATTTTCAAAAATTAATAAAATTGTTTTGACCCCGAACTAAAGTGAAAACAAAAAGTAAGAAGTGAAAAAATACGTGGGCGAGCACGTTTTGAGACCGTCATCTTTGGCAATTTTTAATTATTATTTTACTTAGCCAAATGACTTGAAAATTTCCAGGCATGCACCTCACATCATAGAGAACTCACAAAAAACAATTCAGAAAAAAATAGTTATTTTTAGGCCCCGAAATAATTTTTGGCGGGGGCCGAATGCCGACGGGTTTGGACCCCGTACGGGACCCTGAACGCCCGTACGTATGGAGGTCTGCCCGGGGACCTCCGTATGTACGGGCTGGTGACCCTGTATATATATATATATATATACAGGGTTACCGAACCCAACGTTCGGGGGGCCCCGTTCGGGGGCCGAACACCTCCAGGTTCGGCCCCGCCCAAAAAATGTTTCGGGGCCTAAGATTAATTTTTTTTCATGATTTTGTTTTTGTGAGTTCTCTATGATGTAACCTACACGCCTATAAATTTTGAAGGCATTCTGCTTAGCTCAAAAAACATTAAAAATCGTTAAAGATTGGGGTGTCAAAACGTGCTCGCCCAGTCACTATTTTGTTTTTTTTCACTTTTAACGTTTTGTTTTTACTTTATTTCGGGGCATAAAAAAAATTATTTTTTTTTGAAATTTTTTTAGTGAGTTATTGATTATGTAAACTACATATCTGTAAATTTGTAGGGCATTTGTCAATCCCAAAATATAATTAAAAATCAACAAAGATGGCGGTGTCGAAAAGGTGCTGGCACACTCGCTCATTTTAATTCTCTTTTTATTTTTTCTTATTTTTATCATACTGTTTATTTTCTGTATTTGATTTTTAATTCAAATTTGGTAACGAATTAGGATGTAGCGCTCAGACAAATGTTGTTTAGCCTAGTTTTCTCCATAACATAGTTTATTTCCGGAATGTTTTGAAAACGTTTTTTTGTTTTTTTTTTTCGCATTCCGCCTGAACTGCCGAACGCCTTCTGAAGGGGTCCCGTACGTTCGGGCGTTCGGGTTCCGGCGTTCGGCCCGTCCCGAATGCCGGTAACCCTGTATATATGTATATATATATATATATACATATATATATATAAAGGCCGTTAGGATTCATGAGGGAGTGATTTCCGAAGGCCGTTAGGATTCATGAGGGAGTGATTTCCGATATTACGCTATAATTTATAATCATCCTCAGTCTTCTATCACATTTATAACAATGTTTGTGCATGAGGTCGTTAGGTGCATATTATTTTATGGCTTAACATATCGGTTGCAGAACATTAATGTAGACACTAACCGACCAAAAAATTGTCACCTTCCACAAATGACTTATTCGCATTTCATAATTTGACAAATTACGTGCTCCCGAGGTCTGGGTGCCGCTTTTCGAAAAAACAGAAATACATAAATGAATAGACAATTTTTGTTACCTGATTATAAAAAGTGACTTCTATTTTTTTTTATTTTTTTTTTTTACTTTCACATTATACACATTGTAATATATATATACGTAATACGTATCATGTGACAGAACTTCACGGTAAACCGTTGGCAGAGAGGGAGAATATGAAAATAAATGAGGATTTGTGACAAACTATTCCGTCGGAGTTTCACCGACTAATAGGTATAAGAACGTTCTAAGCATTAAGCACTTCTCATAATTGATATTTCGTGTTTAACAATGTTTATGTATGGGGTTGGTAGGTACATATTGTTTTATGGCTTAACATTTTCGTTGCAACACATAAATGTAGACACCAACTGACCACAAGAAGTTTGGTCTGTAACAAAAAAGTTATTGACGCTTCACAATTTGAAAATTATATGCGTCTGGGATGTCAATCAACCTCTGAAAGAACGAAGATAAAAAAAAAAAAAATGCATTAACCTCATTACAGAGGGGTTTTCTCACTCACTGTAATCAATATTATTCGCCTTTTTTGTTGGACTGTAAAGTCTGTAGTTGCACAATTATGTTGCGAGACAGACGCATATCGATTTGAGGTTACACTTATTTAACTGCACTTAAATAAGGAGGTGCAATTACATAAGAATGTGTGTGATTTTTGTGGGTAATGTGAAGAATGTGCGTGATTTTGTGCTATGAGAAACAAATTTTGTTATAACCTTCCATTGAGAGAGAGAAAGAGAGAGTGGTGAGAAAAAAAAAAACAAAAAAAAACTGCATATGTACACAAACATGTAAATCTCTAACATTCATGAACTTTAAAGTTGGTTTCCATGACGTCAACATGAACAACACATCCTAGACATGCAAATACTTTATGATTTATGTGCTAGAATATAATTTTGAATGTTTTCCCAGCCTAAATATATTATATTCTTAACATAGTGAGCACCCATATTATTCCAACATAATTTCAACAGGATTTCAACAGGATACCGATTGTTTATCAACACATGAGCGAAATTTTCAACACAATATCAACTGTTGTTCAACTGTTGGTATACAGTTTAAAACAACTATACCAACACAGAGAACATAATCAGTGTGTGGCCAAACCACATTGATTGACTCCGTGTATATATTCATGAAACCCTCCGTCAAACATTTTATAAACTGTTGATAATCTGTTGTTATACGCAAAGGTATGTGATAAACTTGCTTTCAATATGACCATTTTTTTTTTGTTGTCTTTGCTTACGTGTACTCTCATCCACTCTCCCTGTCTGATTTTGACTACCTCATCTCAAGATGGAGAGGTGTACAGACTGTGTAAGAGAGCCGAAGGCTTCAACATCAGCTCTGAGCGCTGATCTAGTAGAAGGAAAGGCTCTGAAAAGCTTGCATATCATCAGTGTCCCGCATTCGCACGCATTGAGAGAGAGCCCGTGGACTCAAATTTTCGCTTTTTACCTCAAGTACCATTGGTGTATCGTCTCACCGTCTCCCAACCATGATTTTTCCAGAGGTGACCTCATGTGTCTGTGCGCAGATCATGGCCGCTAGCTAGACGTTTTCTTGAAGGCGGACGCCAGTAAGCACATCACCCACTCGTGAATGGTGGTTCGAATGAGGAAGACGATATCAACTTCACAATGTCTGCTTGACTTAGCGTCCCTCTCATTTGCGGTAGTTAGCTGATCTCCCACTGAAAAGATACGAAGCCATCGAGTTGAGAGTGAGGCCAAGAACAGTTAACATTCATTCACGTTCACAACATACAAAACATACAAGATGTTCCTCATACATCCTTTCACACAGAATCATCATACATCACGATAAAACCACACATGTGAGAGTGATTGTGATCGTCATATACAAAGGGTAGTCTCAAATAATACTCGACTCCACACTTAGGGATGAGATATCTCATCCAAAAATGTACACAACAATCCCGTTCCATGACTTATTTGAAACAACTCAAGTCACCTCCAATATAGTACATAGTCAACTGTACCAGAAAAATCATTAAAACAACCAAGAATTTTATTGTCACTCAGTATACCCGCCCTAATCTCAATGACCATCCTATGTTGCAGTCCCCCATCTGTACACTCAACTGCATAGGTATCCAAACCTCCTAGTAGATTCTAAGGTAAAAAAGAAATAAAAAAATTTGCCCTTACTTAGATGAACCAATCCCTACTCACCCATCTCCTCTTGGTTCTGTCTATATAACTGAGCCCTACCTCCATCGACAGATCACTCTACTACTCTACCCTGTCTATCATGCATCCTTCTGCGGTTTTCTGTAACCTTCCCTTAAGCAAGGTCCTTCAAGAACTTAGGACACTGCAGGGCTCGATGACCTTCTTTTTCGCAAAAGAAGCAGGATGCGTCAAACCACTTCCTGAACTTCTCATCCCTCTGAGATCCTGGTGACGAAGGCGCCTCGCTGGTCTCCCTGCCCAGCTCGTAACTCTGAGGCACGTCCATAGACTCCTCAGGTCCCATCTCCAACTCTTGAGTACTAGGCCGAGGTAGTAACCCAACCCCCTCTGGTCTATACTCGGGCGTATCCAACCTCTGGGGCCTGCCCTCGATGACGCCCTCTACCGCAGTCCCCATCTCTCTATCAGGAGGCTCCTCTAGCCTCTGCTCAGGTGAAAACAAGCTTGCGCCCTCCTGCATAGTGTGAACCGCCTCGAGAAGCACATCCATAGACCCCTCTGTTGAGCCCTGGACTGGCTCACTACTGGCCGTCAGCAGCCTCTCCTCGTCTCCCCTGCTGGCACTCTCTCTCTCGTGCGGTGGTCGGCTCTCTCCGGGATCTCCGCTTCCATCTCTCTCTCAGCCTGACGCGGCTCCTGGGGTGGTTCCACGGATACGGGCTCCTCCAGGTCAGGGTGCTCCAATGCGTGTGCCGCCAGATGCCTGTCAATCATGGCAAGGCCCTCTCTCCTTCAGTCAACTCTCTCTCTTTCCTCTTCTGCTATTTCTCCTGGCGAAGGGGCCGTCTCTGGCGATGGTAGTGGGAGCTTCTCTCGCCGTGATCCCTCCTCTCTGCTGGGTGCGCTTTGGTGTGCTCCCAAGTCTCAGTCCCACCGCCGGCGTCTAAGGGGGAGTATCCTCCTCAACCTCTATCATCTTCTCTTGTGGTACCTCTTCTGGCGGTTTGTCACATCCCTCACTCGTCAACGGTATTCTCCACAGCGATACATCCAGATGTGTCTCCAACTCCTGCAGAGGCCCCTAGGTGCTGGCATCCCCTCTCGCGTGCCCTGTGGAGATCCTCTCAGTCCTCCCTGGGTAAGGCGATGAAACTCCATCGACCCCAATCCACACTCAGGGTATGCCCCTCACTCCTCAGTCTTGGGCACCAACTCCTCTTCACTCCTGGCAAGTGTTTTTCGTCCCCCTCGAGATGGCCTGGCCTCGGTGGGTTTTGGGTCCCTCTGCCTCTTGCTCCTCTGGCGTCTCTCGACTCTGGGCTGAGGCGGCTCTGGCCGTCGGAATGCCTCTCTCAAGTGCGCCCTGCAGCTCTCCCAATCTCAAGTCATGTCTCTGGTCTGTCTGACCAAGGGTCTTTTCGCCTTCCGGGTCCACAGGGGCAATGTCCTCGCCCACTCATCCCTCAATATGCCCTGATGATGCATGAACCGCTCGAAGGCGGGGATAAAATTCTCCGCATTCCCGATCTCTAGGCGGATCGGTCTGCCATCAGGTCCCATAGGCGATGGTCGTAGCCCCTGCATCCTCGCCTCCACCTCTGGTCATGTCCTCGCCTCCCTGCGAATCTGCGCGATGGGCTCGGCGAATCTGCCAGCTCCTCTCAACCTCTCGATCGTCTGGATCATGGTCCATCCCATGTGCTTCACGTACTCCCGAAAATCATCCAGGAATAACTCTATATCCCCATCATCATATACGGGCGTACTCTCTCGGTGGCGAGGCCCATGGCGCTCGTAACCTCCTGATGCTCCCAACGGCCTCCGTGGCGGCCCCGCCCCCCTCCCTCCTCTTGGCATGGCTGCCTTCGCGAAGTAAGACCTGCACAACAGACGAAGGATACATCAGGTACACATCGGGGTAAGCAAACAGGCGGTAAATGAAGCAGTCTTAGGTCAGACCAAACACATACATCATACAACCTATCTAACCTACATACCCCACTTTCATACTCTAAGGGAATTAGATTGTCTATCTCACCTCTTCTCTCGCCACAAACTTCTTCAGCCTCGTTACTTACACCCAATTCTTCCACTCTGTCTCATTTAGCTCTCAATCTGGTACGCGCCGAAATCTCCACATCGCACAATCCGATAAGGACCTAACCACCTTTTGTCGAGTTTCTTGGACCACTGCTTTTCCAAGGATGAATCATACAGGAGTACGACGTTCCCAACTGCCAAGGGTACTTTCCTTACTCGAGCTGACTGGTCCCAACGAGCCTTATCCTCCATACGGCTCCCTTCACTTGGTTGGACGCTTCCCTAATCCTTTCCTCTATCACACCCACCTGCCGTGCTCGAATATCGAGTAATTCTTCAAAAGACAGGTTGACCTCCAAATCCTGACGCCTCCAAGTCTTTAGGAAACTCTCGATTGGGAAGGTAGCGTGCCTCCCATACCATAGCGTGGCATGGGCGTATTTAGTGGTCCTTTTCACCGTAATATTCTCGACAAAAAATGTCGCCGTCAGGTACCTTGGCCAGGGTTGTCGAGCCCTGGCCCCGGGGCCCCGGTGAGGGTCCCGGGGGCCGGGGGTCGGCACCCTTCGCCCCGACAAAAAAAA